AACAAAACCTGATAGCACACCGTTGCTTGAAATTGATTTCACTCATTTTTAGAACAAAATAGAAAAAATCGTTTCACAAAAAAAATCTCTATGCACAACCAAATGACCTTGCTAAAGGCGAATCACATGTTCCTCTGTCGCCTCTCCAAGCATAGTGCTTCTAGTGCTGCTAGATCAAACGCAACGTTGCCAGTCTCATTACTTAATTTACAGACCTCGTACATTACTTGATTATTATATTAAGATAATGTTCGTGCCGCAGACTAGGGCGACACTGTGTAAAGCTATCACATTTCATGTTGTCTTTTTTGTGATAAAAGACTGATATTTTTTATGGTTATAGAACTACATGTGATATTGGAAGAAATATGTTCTTCTGAACAATCCTTTTATGTGGATTTTATTTTGTTCTAAGCCGATTGTGGTCTACTCAGATATATGAAGAAAGAAGAAATATGTTCTTCTGAACAATCCTTTTGTGGATATTTTGTTCTCAGCCAATTGTGGTTGCTCATTTTGTCAGGATATGTGTACCTCACAGCAACATCATCTCAAGTAAAAATTGCTAAATTAAATAAAAGAAGTTAAACCATAAATTTGTTCCTCATCCACTTATGCATAAGTATTTATTGATGTAAATAACTTGTTCTTTTCTATTGGCAAGTTATAATAAATATATTATATCTATATTTATATACATTTATAATGTGTGTGAATTGAGATTTAAGTCATTTAATATATTCCTTGAGAAATTAAATAAAAATGTTGTTAAATGTTTACTAATTGTTAAGATTATGTATAGTTTAATGTTATAATAATATATTTTTTATTGACATTCATCTTTCATTATAGGAAAAATAAATCATTCATTGTTTTATCAGAATATAATTATTGTTATTCATCTCAAATGAAAATTTGTTTGTGTTCTTTTACCAGTTAAGGCCTTGTGAGCCCAGTAGCCCTTTCAGATAATATAATAAACAATGGATAAATTGATATATATACATATATATATATATATGTAAATAATAGGTAATTGTGTTGAACAGTGTACATTATGATAAATGAATATTTGTTTGTTTACAAGTAATATAAAATACAGATTATAAATTTTTCATTGAGAAGTGTAAGATGCGTAATGCAAAGCATTGGGCATATTACGATATGATAAAAAAAAGAACGATATGGAATGTCCAAGAAGACATAAATGATATATGGGATAGATCTGTTAGTTTTGTAAATAATACTGCAAAGGAGATTGTTGGTGAGTAGAATGTCAGAAAACCTGGTGGTGGGATGACAATGTTCAGAAAATCATAGTGGTAAGAGAAAGCAGTTCATAGTATGACAAAAGAGCAAAAGGAGAGAAGGTTGGATGGAGTATAAACGCTTGTGTAGAGAAGCCAAGTGTAAGGTAAGTAAGGCAATGTTTAAGAGGAACAAAGGAAGATGGAAAGTCTATAGATTTTCAAAAGTAAGAGAAAAACATTCTAAAGATAATTCACTATTCAAGATGTATACAAGTTGTTTGAGCAACTCGTTATTTAAATAATAACAATAGAGTGGACTGTATTTCTAGATTTTATTTTATTATAATGAAAAATTATTTATAGTAACAATTATTAGGTCGCGAAACGGTCCAGCAATGTTACCGGCGCAGCGTATAACGAGCAACTAACCGATCCCACCATTATCACAAACGATAATCGTATACTAAACACAAGTGATGATAAGAAAGTGCTAACTAGTGATGATGATATGAAAAAAGGTGGAAAGAGTATTTTGAAAAATTACTGAATGAGGAATTTCCAAAACACACCATTAGAAGATATCTCGTGGAATGGATTTCACAGTATAGTATTACTCTTGCTATAGTTAATACTTATTTTAAAATGATGTCGCTATCAAATATACCGAATTTTTATTGTAAATTTTTGAAACTTACTGTACACCCATTAAGTATATTTAGAGGAAGGGCGCTGCCCTCCACCAAAAAATATTTTAACTACTAATAGCTTATGATATATCACAATTTTAATTTCATAACTGAAATTATAATTAACTAACGACAGTCAGAATAATCGAACTTTCGTTTCTTTTTTAGCTTCGATACGAAGCTGAGAAGGTATTAATTTTACTATAATGTGTTTTATTTTTTTTTTTTGTGTGTCTGTTACCACTTTTTCTCAGCTCTCACCGAACCGATTTCTTTCAACGATACGTCAAAAGATCACAAATCGTATCTAATCGAAGACATTATCCTCAAAAATTGAAAAAATTTTCCTCGTTACTCGTAAATGGGGAAAATCTCCAAAAAAATTATAAATTTAAAAATCGGTAAATTTTGTCATTTTTTTCACTTTTTTTCTTAAAACTTCCATAACTTTTTCAAAAATCAACAAATCGACATAACTTTTTTTTAAACTAAGACCTTAAATATTTTCCTTTCATTTGATATAATTTTTTTGAAAATCTAACACTTACCCTGCTCACGGGGGGGATTGAAAATGGCAACTTTTTTACAAAAACTAACTTTTTCAACTTAATTTTTGAAAATGTTCCGGAAATACTGCGTCCTTTAAACATATATCAAATTAAAGCTTATTCTATGTACTATAAAATTTGTCCCGACATTTTATCTTCTGCATGCAAACGGCAGCCGTAGTTAAAAAAACGCTATTTTAGTGTTAAAATTTTCGATTTTTGATTTTAGATTTTCAACTTAAAAATGCTATAACTTTTCGAAAAATGTATTTATCAGCACAATTTTTTTTCCTAAATACATTATAAGTACATCTTTTATTTGACATACTTTTTATTAAAATTGGACAATATCCCCTTGTATAGGGGGCGTTTAAAACTTGAAACATTGTATAAAAAATAGAACTTTTTCAATTTAACTTTTGAAAATGTTCCAGAAATACTGCATCCTTTCAACATATATAAAATTAAAGCTTATGTCATGTACTATAAAATTAAAAAAAAAAAATTGTCCCGATGACCTATCTTCTATGCGCAAATGTTTACCGTATTCAAAAATATGCTATTTTTGTATTAAAATTCTGGGTTTTGTATTTTAATTTATTGTAAAATATCTCAAAGGGGGAATACATTGACTTTCATGAAAATTATATAATTTAATTGACATAGAATAAAGTTCATAAGACATAAGAAATTATACTTATTTAAATTTTTTTTGATTTTTTAAAATTGAAAAATTACGTTTTAAATAGCTAATTTTTTCATGCGACGAAAGCAACGAACAATTGCCGAGTCGGTAACATTTGTGTCACGCTTAGGGTACGAGGTTCAAATCCGCCTGTGGCTATTATTTTTTGAGTTTGAAAAAAATGTTCAAATCATTTAAATTTTATCTCATTTAGATTCAATAAATATAAAGGATCCTATCACTATAGTCTCCCCTCGTGAGAAGAAATTTCTTATTCAAGTTAATATTATTTTACTATATGGTTCTTTTTGTGGCTAAGATTTATTTTGCCAACCCTCACTAGACCTACTTTTTTCAACGATACGTTAAATGATTACACTTCGTATTTAGTTTAAGTTATTACTCTTAAAAATCGAAAAATATTCCTTATTCAAATAAAAAGTAGCTTAACCAGCTTTTTCCATACAAACAATTAAAATCATTAATTTCTAATATTCATAAAGTATTTATTGTCGAATTAGATTTGATATGATAAAAGTATTCAAATACAAAGGTAAATAATTTTAATTTGTAATTTAGTAATTTTTTAATTCTATTTGTGTGTGCTACTACCAGTCTATAATATTCCAAATTTTTTTGTAACATATTGCGATTATAGCTACATTTATATAGCAATGCTATATAAATCATAAATTAAAAAAAAAATGATTGTTAGTTTCACCTGAATTTAACGATAAATTTTTACAATCATAATCAAATTTTATAATACGCTCAATTGAGTAAATCTTTTTAACAACTTTTTTTTATTGGTTCTTTTAGTTAAAGTAAATCATTTAAATTAATTAAGTTCTGAACATTTCCATTGTAGAATATTTTTAAACACCAAAAATTAATTAGAAATGATTACTATGATTTTTATTTAAGTGATATAATACGATAATAATGTAAAAAAAAATCGAACTTTTCTAATAAAGTTACTGTAAATAGTAATTATAAAATTTGCTGACTGCTTATTAATCTTAACAATTTCATTTTTTTTGTATTTAATAATGTAAAGTTCAAACTTGCAAGTTGAGCTAAAAGTTATGGTAATAAATTCATTTTTTTTTGTTTTATTATAAACTTTCACATAAAGAACAAAATAAAGAAGGTTAAAAATTATTACTTTTAACATATTAAAAATCAAAATCAATAATACTTTTAAAACAATTCAATATAACTATTATATAATATAAAATTTTATATTATATTTTTGAATCTAAGAATTACTAATCTGGATATAATTTAGGAAATAGTTGATGTTGCTTTTGTAATTATCCACCAATTTCTTAGAATTAAATATTATCTACAGGTTTGCATCGAAGCGTTTTTTATGATAGTGATTTTAATCACTATCAGATATCATTACACTTGACCCAACTATACCACGTCCCAACTGTGCTGGGTTTGTTTTATTATACTTATAATAATTAGATGATCAATGAATCATAATACACATGACTATTAATAAATCACTGGAATTTTTTTTAATTACTTTTATAAACAACACTTTCAACAAAAAGTAATTTTTGTTTAATTATAATTATAATAGTTATAATCAATTAGTCAAAAAAAAAAAAATTATAATGATTAGTCTATGCTATTAAAATAAATTTTGTTAGATAATTTTTAATGTGTGCCCAAAATTTACTTTGTCTTCTCTAATCTATATACTTTGTATTCTTATTGTTTCATAGTGAAGCATTGGAGAATGAAAATGAGTTTTTATCTTTAATTTCAAATAAAGGTTGGTATTATAATAACCCTATTGATAAAAAAACAATCAAATGGATGTTTGCCAATTAAATTTAATCAATATACTATAATACTATGCTAATAATCCCTAAAAGACATTTGCCATTTAAGGATTTTAATAAATTGTGTACATTTCATCTTAATAAATAATAATTCAACATTTCGAATATTAATTAATTACTTATTAAAACCAATATTTTGTAAAACTGAAAACAACAATGGCTATTGTTCAACAATTATTCAAATCAAAATTTGAAAAATCATATACTTCAGTCTTATTGGTAGTTAATTTAAGAACTGGATCTTTGCCCATTATGAATTCGACAGCGAATATCATGGGTTTGCTTCACACTCAACTTGATCATCGTTCTCGATGTCAACCATTACAACAGAAGAACGTGAGCGTTTTGTTGATGTTTTAGAATAATCCAGTCTTTTTCGGGAAATATCAACCGGTAAACTCATGTTCTTTATCACTACCGAATCATCGTCATCGGAGTGACCATTATGTCCCTTGTCGTTTGTAATGTTAGTGGAACTAACAAGTGTAGTTGATTGTGATGACTTCACAACAAAATCATTATTGATGGGTGATAATTTTTCTGTTTCTTTTTCTGAACTTGTTTTATCTTTAAGAAAATATTTATGAACAATATATTTCAACGCAGCATTTATAATCAGGATGATGTGCTATTGAACAGAAATAAAACAAAAATAGAAAATGAATACTGACTTAATACTAGTTAAAAATTATAAACCATTGACTCCGTAAGAAATCACTGATAAAATAATGCATTTTTTTGATTTGTGTGTTTTTGTTCTAATTTTTAAGTATGTATAAAAACATTTTAAGCCAAGAAACAGTGGTGCCAAAGTCAAAAATAGTAGGTAGTGTCCACTGGTCAGGGGTAAGTCCTCGGGTCCAGACCCCTATGAACATAAATCCATAGTAGCGGGGATAGTGGAAGGATAAATCTTACAAAATATATAATATCTAAGCGCCTCATATAATTTTGTAATTACGCTATTTGGTAGGTGTAGCGACAAATTCTTTTTTGGAATTATTCGCTTAAAAAACTCAATTGGAACAATTCTTTGAAGAAACAGAACAACTGATAGAACCATCTAATTTCATAAAACAACTTCAACTACAAATTTCAAAAGTAGTCCCAATAGTATACCACCAAAAATCATCATCAAAACACATTACATACCAAAAGATCTAGAAACGTCTACTCACGTATACCTAAGAATCGACGCTTTGTAACCAAAACTAACTTATACATATGAAGGACAATTTAAAGTGTTAAAAAGAACACTCAAGACGTTCGACCTTCAAATCAACGGAACATCCAGAACAATATCAATTTATCGACTCAAACCCACTTACATAAAACAAAGCATCTGAATATAATACAGACACAAAAGTACAGCAGTTTTAGCACAACCCAGGCATACTCGATCAGAACGAAAATTACATTTCTCAAAATATCTGACTACAAATTATATCATATAAAACAATGTTATTAACTATATATTGTAAACACTCCGTGTACTGAGGTGGGAGTAATGTAGAAGAACGATCAAGAATCTACGCGACGGATAGCAACACAAAATGCATATACGCGTGAATGTTCTCGATTGCCCCATAAAAGAATATTCTAGAACACTACACACTATAAAACGGTGAGACATCAGTCAATCAACCAATCAGTCATAAGTTAGTTAGTTCGCCATAGAGATGGGAATTATGGTTCACCTAAGTGATCCGAATCATTCGAATCAGGTCAACTAGAAGATCCGGTTCAAAGACCAGTTCGCGATCTAAAAGATATTTTGAGTCAATTGAATCGAACATTTAGTATAGTTTTGGTTCTTTTACGGTTCTCAATTCGCGATTCGGATTAGGGATGTGTTGTATAAACAAATGACATATGAATATGTTATCATGTTATTATTGATATTTGGTAAGCAATCGAATTGGTTCAGTGTGATTAAAAACGGGAAAAAATTAGGTATTTGGGGAATCCGGATCACTACGGTTCGGCGATCTGAATCATTTCGTTCACTATTTTAACCCGTTCAATGCGATCCGTTCGTTCGCGAACGACTCATCTCTAGTTCGCCACAAGTAAACAGTTAGTACACGTAGTGCGTACATATATTGTAAATATTCTAAAATTGTATAAATAATAAACAGTCTATCATTTTTCTCTTTTTTACGTAAGTCGGTGTTTTTATTAATTGTTTAATCAATACGCGAAGCACCGAAGTAGGACAAACATTTTTTGAATTGACATTTTTTATTTTTTTGCCTTTCACTTCTAATAATTATCTTATAGTAATTGGAATGAATATATAGGAGCATAAACTACTTACAGAACTGGGTTATTTATTGTTGGCTAACTTTTTTTGATTATTTAAGAAAAAAATCTTCTAAGTATCCAAGCTATTTAGCCCCCTAAAAAATTATGCGTACAAAAATATGTGTATAGAGAAAAAAATTTCGGAAAATGTTTAACAGGTTACGACCATTCACGCCATTTAAGTCAGTCGATTATCGTTAACAAGAGAGGAACAACAAATAAAAATTTAATTAACTTGTTATAACAGTAGATTACCTCAAATAAAATTACAAAAATAAGTTGAGCAGCCAAAATATGCCAATAAATGTAAGAACTTGAACTTTGTGACGATTCAGTACGATGATATCCACGGTAGCGACACATATCTGGTCGATTATCGTAACTTTTACCATCATAATAATATTCAGTCATATTTCGCTCTGAAAATATTATTGTTCCAATAAAACTTACAACGTATTTTGGTTGCTAGTAAACAGTGAAGTTAATTACTTACCTTTTGATAGTGTCCAAGCTACATAACCCTCCAACGATGATTGTTCAGAGAAATTATTTGCATACACGGTCCTAGGTATAAGATCACTGGTAAAAGCTATCACGAATACCTGTACAATGCCAAATTAAAATTATAATAAGGCACAAATACGGATTTAAATTTAAGAGATAATTTTTTTTATTACCCAGATCATGTTATAACGACACACAGTCTCGATTTCAAGTAAGAATTATCTTTTTAACACAATATTTTTTGAATTTCTATCTTATTTTGACTTTGATGGTCGTAGCAGTTACGAATTAGCAAGGAAAGTAGTACAGGATAGGGGCATCTATGTATAAGCTAATAACTTTTTGGTCGCTTTTTTACTTATTAAAAAAAAAAATATTACTAACATCACGAGTGAAATAGAATAAAAAAAATCACAATGAAAAAAATATCAGAAAAAAATAGGATATATCACAAGTTAAGAAGTTATAGCATAGAAAATTTGTTTAGTTATTTTAAGTTATCGATTAGGTAGAAGCAGTTTTGTAAATTGTATGTTTAATTGTAACCATTAATGGTTCAAGTGGAATGTACAGCCAAAGAAAAAACTCGATCAATTTTGATAGAGAAATTTTATTAAGGGTTTATGATAATGTTTTATTAATACGAACAAAATAATTATTCATATAAATAATTATTGTACATGACAAGAAAAAAATATCAAATTGATAAATAATAATTAATCAAATATGGAGTCTTTGTCAATATAAAAATATGTTTTTATAAATATGATACAGGTTTAATTATTTTTGTGAAAAATATTTTATCAATGTAACAAAAAAATTGTAGATTTTTAGAATAAATCGTTATTTGAAAAATAAAATGGCTGATGTTATTTTTAAATGATTAAATGATAGTAATCGTACATTTTTTCTTAATGACACGATTTAAAAAAAGTTTAATATTTCGTAGTATACACAAACAATTTGGTAAGTTACATGTACCTATTTCTTTATTATGCACTTGAGATTTATTACAGTGTTTTAATACAATATATATATTTAAACTTTGTAAATTATTAAAATACGTAGTTTCAGTGAATAAATAAATAAATAATTTGATCAACCCCGAATAAAATGATAATACTATTTAAAAGACAGTAATATTATTTTCCTTAAACATTTCCTATAACATTTTGTTGTAATAGATCTGACACTCGAAAAGTGTATTGAATACATACGGTATATCTAGACTATGACACTAGTGCAGATTTGTACAACGCCTAACCGCGCTTTAAAACAATCACGGGTTTCAAGCAAAACTTTTCGCGCTTGTTTTTTTTTTTAAATAGACAAATGTTTTTTCTCCTGCACACATTTTCAAGGGATACACTCCGCGGACAAACATCGTCCATTTACATTTTTTTTAATGTCGGGTACACATCTTGTCTCACCGTGGAACTAGTAAGTAAGTACAACGCTTTTTTTAATAAAAATATAATTTTTATTGTAAAAAAGAATAAAAATATTTTAGCAGTTTAAAAAAAGGATAATTTAGCATTAAATTAATTATTCTCTTGGTCAGGTGGAAAAAAATACAGCATTATTTTATCTATTTAACTTGTTTTTCGTGCCAACGTCGCAAAAAGTGACGAGAGATGAAAATGGAAAAAAATATTATTAAATATTCTATAAAGAACTCTCAAAATTCATTCATTAGTTTCCCCGAGACAGTTGACCAAGCTGATGCTTACATCTCATTACTACAAAGTAGAAAACAACTAATACCAATATTCATTTTAATTATTGGCACGATTTTAAAACCACGTGATATATTATTATATTTTGATGCCAACAAGTACAGTATTTTTTCAATAATAAGAGCAGTGGATGTCTACTTTAAGATATTCCACGTTATTAATTTAGAATACCCACTTCAATCATGCGCTTTTTTTCCATATATTCAACAATAGAACCTTACAATAGAAAAATCATTTTATTTTTTCACTTTAAAATTGTTTTCTTTTTATTCTTATTAATTATTTGTAAATTATTAATTTTTATTTGATTATTTAAAATTAATTTTTCATCCAATGTATGAACAGATTGTAAGCTTTCTTAAAATTCATAAAAAATAAAAGGTGAGAAATACGCCGTTTCAGTTTATATTCTATAAGTCTATTTAAATACACACGTGTACAGGTTTTATTTATAATTTACCATTGAAAAAATAAAAGTTGTTCATTCAATTATTACACAATCTAATTTAATATCGTGTTTATTTAAGTAAATTATAACCATATTAAGATTAAATTTATAATTTAATATGGGATTTTATTTGTACACTAGTATGTTAATTTAATAAAAATTCATTATCATTTTGAAAAATTTACTTAATTCTTTAAAAATTATTTCATCACCATGAAAAATTATTCATCAAAGTGATATACATATAGATTAATAATTCGTCATTAGTGCGATGAATTTATCAATATGACAAAGTTATAATTATAGTATTGATAGAGTATTTTATAATTTTAATAATATCATCATTGTTATAATGATAAACAAACCACTAAAATTTTTCTCTATAGTATTGATAAATGTATCATAGGTTAAATAGTAATGATATATTTATCAAATTGAACGATACATTTATTATATAGATAGAGGTTTTTTCTCTGAGTGTAAAGGTCGCTGATCTAAGCTCCGCAGTTCAGAACTTGTAATGTTATTGAACATTCCACAATTTATTTATTGAATTTAAAGCACGTATTACAACGTTATAAGATTGTACACTTACAAAATTTTCAGAATTCAAAAGATTCAAAAAAACTATCAAGCAAACATTTCTATTTTGAATATTTCATGTAGGCAAGTAAAGAGTCAGATTTTCAAAATATTTATAAAAATGAAAGGGGAATATTTATGATATTCATAAAAATGATTTTTTCAAATTATAACAATTTTAAACAAAAAAAAAACCCAGCACAGTGGGGTCGCGGCATAGTGGAGATGTTGCATAGTTGGGTCCAGTATAGATTTAATCTGACAGTGATTAAAATCACTATCATAAGAAACGCTTCGATGCAAATCAGTAGATAGTGTTTAATTCTAAGAAATTGGTGGATAATTACAAAAGCTACATTATCTGCTAGTTTCTTATTAATACCCTGATTAAGATAAAGTATGTCAAATGAAAAAGGGATTATTAAAAAATATTATTTCTCATAAAAAAATTATGTTGATTCGTACACTTTTCAATGAATTATAGCATTATAAAGTTAAAAATGTAACCAACCCAACCGAACTTCAACTCCTATTTCCTTAATTATATCCAGATTAGTAATTAGTTTAATTATATATTATATAATTTTTATAATTAATTATTTTCAAATTATTATTGATTTTTAATATGTTAAAAGTAATCATTTTGAACCTACTTCTTTTTGTTCTTTAAAGTGAAAGTTTTAATAAAAAAAAAATGAATTTATTACCATAACTTTTAACTCAACTTGCAAGTTTGAAATAAATATTATTAAATAGAAAAAAATTAAATTGGTAGATTATTTCAAAAACAACAATAACACTTATTCCCTTAATTTTACCCCGATTTATAACTATAATATATGAATACATAATAATTACAGTAATTAAATTGAGTATGAAAGTGGTATTCAATAATATAATATTGTAATTTTTACGGAGATATTATAAAAATAAAAAGGAGTTGTATATTCATATACTTTTAATGCGTATACAAATTTAAAGGAATTTATGCAATACTTTTTAATAAAAAAATTTTGTTACTTATGAATAAATACACTAAACAAAAGGAACTTTCATCAGAAAAAAAATATACTTTTCTAAATAAACTTTTCGTGATGTTTTCAAATGTGCAATTAAACTTTTTCTATTACTTCTAAGTTTTAATATTATTACTTATTATTAAAAAATAAGTATTTACATATAAAAAAAAATAATTAAGAACAAAAAAAATTGTATTAAATTAATACTGATTTTGATTTTTTATATGTTAGAGGTAATCATTTTGAACCTATTTTTTATTGTCTTTTAAAGTGAAAGTTTTAATGAAAAATACCTTCTCAGCTTCGCATCGAAGCTAAAAGTTTTGAAAAATGTAGAAATTTACAAATTGCATATTTGTCGGCTGATTTCTCATAATAGAACAATCGTGGTTTTTTTTTAATATTGTAGTTAACTTCAAAAGTGTTAATTTGATATGGGTTAAAGTTCCAGAACATTATAAAAATTGAATTAAAATTTTTTTTACATGTACAAGTGGTCTCTTTCAAATTTTAATTTCTGTCAAAAGTAATGTATTGATACTGATGATCTTTACATATTAAGGTTTCTAAGTACAATATTCTACGCAAGATTTTTTCAAGAGTAGTGTCAACATATACGATTTATTCATCTTTTATTTGAACGTCATCTAATAAAATGCTATAAATTGTCCTATTTAATTCAATAATTCAATAATTGGTCTATTATTGAAATAGACTAAATTTTGAATATTTATTTAATTACAATAATAAGTATTTTTGAGAATATTGCGAAGAATACAATGCTTGTTGGATCAATCCTCATTGAGGGAAGGTAAAAATATTTTATTTTGCTTTTTTTTAATAATTATTTTTTATATGACTTTAACGATTAAATTTTGAAAGTAGAAGACGTGACACCCCAAACACTCCTTTTAAGGACAACCCTGTTTGCGCGACCAAAAAACAATTAATTTTCTTACTCAAATTTTCAGAAAATATTATACTAGTATTTATAAAAAAAATCTAGACAGGTCAATTATTACAAACAATGAGAACAATAAAAACCGTTTTCTTACTTACTGAACACTATATATGTAGTAATTAAAAAAAATAAATGAGTTGAATCTTAGAAGAAGAGGTTTATGAAGACCAAAAAAAAAAAACCCAGCACAGGGGGGTCGCAGCATAGTGGTGACGTGGCATAGTTAGATCAAGTATAATGATATCTGACAGTGATTAAAATCACTATAAAAAAAAAACGCTTCGATGCAAATCTTTAGATAGTGTTTAATTTTAAAAAATTGGTGGATTATTCCAAAAGCTTCATAAACTGCTAGTTCCTTATTAATATCCTGATTAAGATAAAGTATGTCGAATGAAAAAGGGATTATTAAAAAATAGTATTTCCCATAAAAAAATTTTGTTGATGAATACACTTTTCAATAAGTTATAGCATTATAAAGTTAAAAATGTAAAAATTAAAATTAAGAATTTTCACACAATATTAGCATTTGGTAGCCATTTTCACCGTGAAGATAAAATAAAGTCCAAAATTTTTTATTTACCATTATAAAGTATATTACATTAGCTTTAATTTAAGATATATATAAAAGTGTCAGGCCTTCCGGAACACTTTCAAAAGTTAAGTTGAAAAAGTTCTACTTTCTATATGAATTTTTATGTTTTGAATCCCTCCTGTATTAAGGGAAATGGTCCGATTTAAAAAAAAAGTATGTCGAATGAAAGATGTACCTAAATACTACTTCTCATGAAAAAATTGTGTTGATCCATACATTTTTCAAAAAGTTATAGCATAATAAAGTTAAAAATGTAAAATACAAAATCGAAAATTTTCACACAAAAATAGCATTTGGTAGCCATTTTCACCCTGAAGATAAAATAAAAACCAAAATTTTCTTTTTTTCATAATAAAGTATATTACATTAGCTTTAATTTAAGATATATATAAAAGTGTCAGACTTTCCGGAACACTTTCAAAAGTTAAGTTGAAAAAGTTGTGATTTTGAATACCCCTGTGGGATGGTAAAGGGTTAAATTTATAAAAGAAATATAACAAATGATAGGTAAACACATCAAGCATCTATAAAAATAATTATATTTATTTGTTCATTTTTGAAAAAGTTATGGCAGTTTTAAGTAAAAAAAATTTCGAAAACTAGCGATTTTTAAAGTTGTAATTTTTTTGGAGGTTTCCCCCATTTACGTAGAACGAGGGAAATTTTTTCAATTTTTGAGGGTAATGTCTTCGACTAGATACAATTTGTGATCTTTTGACGTATCATTGAAAGAAATCGGTTCGGTGAGAGCTGAGAAAAAGTGGTAACATACAAAAAAAAAAAAACACATCATAGTAAAATTAATACCTTCTCAGCTTCGCATCGAAGCTAAAAATTAAAATTATTAAGTGGCAATCAAATAAAATAATAAATGTAAAAGTGTATTAACTAAAACTAAACAAAAATCGAATAATATAGTTTTAAATATAGAGTAAATACAATTAAAGCAAATAGTAAATTATTTAATGGTACAAAAATATATTGTAAGCAAATAAATTACTAAAATTAATTTACTATTATTTTTAGCATAATATTAAAAAAATACAATAAAATTTGTCAGTAGTTTAGTATACATCAAAATGATCATATTAAGACTTTTTATATGTGTTACTGTTTACACAAAATCTTCAATTTCCTTAGACCCATTAGAGTTGCATTGCAATTTCTCTAGACATTTATTTAATTACTTCAAGTACTGTGAGCAATATTTATTTAACTTTGAAAATACAATCTCTGAACATGAGTTAAAAATGTATGGAAGAGCTGTAAAATCTCATGGCGAAATTGTAATGATCATGTTAGATTCAATACGAGATATGGACGAAGAATATATGGCGGCGGATATTATGACAGTAAATTTATACTTGAACAACGTTTCAGGATCTATAAATATGATTGGTAGAGACAAAAATGGCAAATTTAATAGATCTAAAAACTCACAAAATTTACTTAATGGTTTTAAAATTCTACATCGTTCAATTGTAGAAAGATTGGAATATTTTTTAAATGAAAAGTGTTTAAATGTATTAGTTACAAATAATTTCATATCACTCACTAATTTTAAAAAACCAATAAAATATAGCTCAGAAGTCTTGCTTAATGAACTCGAGAAATTCAATAGTAAAATTATTACAAGTCTGAATGGATATTTAACTATGAGAGACATGTTTGGCGGAAAAGATAATGAAATACTAAATAATTATTGTAATATATTAAAGCATTTAGCAAAAACTTTCGAAAAAAAATCATACTATATTTTTAATCCTAAAAATGTCATGTTTTATGATTTTATGGAAGGTCGTGCATGTTTTTCAGAGTTAGACTATATAAATGATTCCCAAGTAAAACAGTATACTATACATAATAGTAATGAACAGCTAAATGATGTTTTAGACATTGTTCGATATATTCCGTTGAAAATAAAGAGTACTAATAATTATCAAATAAATTTATCCGATGTGTTTAGTTATATCAAGTTTGATTTTGACATTAAAAATTTACAAATATTTAAAAAATTATTAAATACAGCAATTGTTTGTCCAATTTTAATGACTGTATTTTTTTACTTTTCATTGGTTAAAAAATTTGTTTTAATTCCTAATTTTCAAAATGAAAAATTAAAATACGTTTTGAAATATAAAATCATTGAAATGGGTCAACAAATTGTTGAAAATATGAAATCCTTTATGGATTTGAATTTATTTGGAGAAGGATATACAACTAGATTTAAGGATACGTTTAATAAAACGTATGAACTTATTTCATTCTACAAAGATCGTAACAATTTGTTTTTTAATAAAAAAGCGATTTTAATTTTAAAAATTTTCCATGAATACATAAAAAAAAGTGTAATTTTAAGTGATATTCAATTAGAGGAAAAAAAAGTCATAGAGGGCAATATTTATCAAATTTGTGATTTAGCTGTTAAAGAAGTAAATAAAATTGCATCATTTGTTTCAGCATTGAAAAGATATCAGTATTGTTTTGAAATTGCAAATAAATATTTTCATATAGAATATCTAGAAATGAGTTCATTTAAAATTACTTTCAAGCAAAATATTCCATTTGGTAAGTTTATAAATACATAACCGGTATTTTATTGCTTTATGTTAAAGAAAATAATGTAATGAATTTTGGCAATGTTTTAATATAATTATTACTGTTTTTATAAAAAAATTACTATAAAGAGAGTTATAATGTTTTTTTTTCGGTGAACCGTTAATATGTTACAGCATTTTAATATCTGAATGTATCTATGTATAGATTGTTCTTAAAATAATTTTTTTTGTTACAAAAATTCTCATTTTTAAGTTTAGGCGGGAAATGTCTAGTGATAAAAATAACAATACCAGTCCAATTAGTACATAAAAAAGTTGATAACCACTTAAATTCTGATGCAAAATATCTTATCGATCATTCCTTTTCTTAATTATATAATTGTAGATTATATAATTTCTTATTCAATAAGCTAGTTAAATATTTATATTGTCATTTAAAAGAATATAGTGGACACCCTTATAAGGTATAAGGGAAGCAACTGAAAATCATTTTATAACAGATAAATAAATATACATATGTAATTAACCAAAGAAATGTTTAATTAAAGAGATAATTTTGATTATTTATCATGTATAGTGAAAATATGTGTTTATATATAAATATTATAATTTGAAATATTATTTTTAGAACAATTAGGAAATCATAAAAACTTATGTAGATCAGTATATATTCCTGATGTTAATACAAGTGATGTAAACAAATATAGTAATCATAGCTCAAGTAATGAAAATGATGAGATGAATAATAATAAAAAAAAAAATTTGAATGTCGAAACTCACACAATTTACACTCCGAAATATCTAATTGATTATTTGCTTTATGAGTAATTTAATAATGAATTTACAAATTGTAATGTGAATAAATCATAATAATTAATAATAAAAAAAATTATATTATTATTTTTTACTCTCTTATAATAATTTTATAATATTATAAGGTTTGTATAAAATTTTAAATTGATCCGTCAAAGTTAATTATTTCTTAAACCTAAAATGTTCTGTTTTTTGAACTTTATAAAAATATTTATTTTGATTCAGCTAATCAATATAATGTTTTTGATATCAATTTAATATATTTAATTACAAAAATAATATCGATATTTTGTTTCATTTTCTTTATGCAAATTAAATTAATACTTTTACGCAATGCTTGCCATAAACGAGTTAATATATTAAAGTTGATGTTAAATTATTTAATTTAACGTATATTAATATTTTATATTAACCCTTAAACAGTCGCGTGGGGGTCTAGCATACCACCACATAAATAAAAACGGATGTATTATATTACATAAAAGGTGTACATAGATATAAATTTAGAAGATGGTTTTTATAGTAATATTGAATAGATTTTCATAAATAAATAC